TAGAAGTCGTGACATGTGTAAACCTGAATAGGCCGTGCTGCAAGGCTTGAAGCCCGAACTTGTACATTCTCTAGCTTCTTTCAGCCTCAAGCTCCCACCGAATGCGGATCCCATACTCTGCCATAGTCTGTATTGCCTGCATCCTGGAGCATCTTCGACCCCGAGATCCTGTGCTTGTCCTTGAGGAGGTGCAAGCCCTTCGCCAGGAGGTTGCGCGAACACGAGAACTCGTTCACGAACTCGAGGCTACCTCCGGCTCCTGTCTCTGGCAACTTTGGGGGCAGGGGTGGCTACTTCGTCTGTCCGGGGTAGCAGATCTGATTTTGATAGTTCTTCTTGTTCGAGGCTGGCTTCACAGACGGCGAGATAGTCTAGAACAATATTCGGCCGCGGAGGCTCCAACCTCCCTGACTTTGACGTCTTCAGCTACTTCTGCTATTTCGACAGACTCCCGGGTAGACGGGGAGGGCTCAGGGACTTCAACTGCCAGTCCAGGCAAGGGAGGTCGGCCAACTCGGCCTTCGGATCTTAGAAGATGGCAGACCTCACGCTAGACATCAGTGAAGTGCAGATAGTGGTTCACTACCCTCTGGATGGCGGGGGCTTCTTTTGGCACCACCGGATCCTTCTTCATCGTATCGAAGGAGGTGAATGGCTGGCCTTGACCCCGGATCTGGAAATCACCCGGCACAACTTGGGGACTCATCGTCATCGGGTTTTGGATCGGGCCGCCCCCTTCCCGGCCGACATCGCTGCGGAGATCTATGCTCATGATCCTATTGGCCGAGCGGCTTTGGCCAACTTCAAGCGACAGGCTCAGATACAGGCTGCCATCTTGGGTGAAGGGGCCCTCTTGGATCCTGAAGCCTTCTATTGGGTGGTCGCCGAGCCGGGGCACGCGGACTTCGGCGAGGTCATCGATGCGGCGCTTCTTGGGAACGAGGCGACGGGCCTGGCCTTCACGCTCAAGGGTGTCGTTCTGCGGCATGGCGAGGAGGTCTTTGTCGAGCGGGTGGGGGTCAATGCAATGGTCGAGTGGCGCCGGGCGAAGGGACTGGATGGAGCAGACATCCGACTTCTCGGAGATCACCGCGATGCGGCCGGGAAGAAGCAGCTGGACCTGCGGCAGGCTGTGACTCTGATGAAGGACCC